ACAATGTCTTGATGTATCGGGGACAAGGGCTGATTGCGACTGCTTCTCTCCAGGGTCAACTTGCGAACTCAGAAGCGCCTCGCCGCGTCGGTCATCGGCTGCGGTGAGCGCAAGATCTGGCTCGACCCCAACGAGGTCAGCGAGATCTCCAACGCCAACTCCCGCCAGACCGTCCGCAAGCTCATCGCCGATGGCCTCATCATCCGCAAGCCCGTCACCATGCACTCGAGATCCCGTGCTCGTGAGCTGAACCTTGCCCGCCGCATCGGTCGCCACCGTGGCTTCGGTAAGCGCAAGGGTACCGCCGAGGCTCGTATGCCCAGGTTCGTCGACACCAATACTCCCGGCAAGCGATCTGTGGGATAGCCTGTTGTGAAGGAGTTTCCTCGTCACACGACATTTGTCCTGGCGAGGAGACTCTCATCTCAGTTACACCACGGCTGCATGCCCTTACGTGGAGATTCTGTGCTGACTCTCGATGAAGCCAAGTCCTCTGGATGCGCCGCCTCCGTGTTCTCCGCCGTCTCCTCGTCAAGTACCGTGCCTCCGGCAAGATCGACAAGCACCTCTACCACGAGCTCTACCACGCCAGCAAGGGTAACACCTTCAAGCACAAGCGTGCTCTCGTTGAGCACGTAAGTTACAACACCCGGACCCTTCATAACCGAGACCACGACTATGCGTGGACGGAAGGGATGTGTGCTAACATCTTTGTTTGCAATAGATTCACCGTGCCAAGGCCGAGAAGGCCCGCGAGAAGGCTCTCAAGGACGAGATGGATGCCAAGCGTGCGAAGACCAAGGCTGCCCGCGAGCGCAAGCAGGAGAGAGCGGTGGCGAAGAGGAACGCTCTGATGGGCGAGGAGGAGGAGACCAAGTAGACGACTACATCTCGATCTCGGTCCTTAGGCGGCTGCATTCGGAGTCATCGGGTTGGGTCTTCTTTTTTTACGTCCTACTGGTCCTAATGTCGCAGCAGGGCTTTGGCATGTAGCATTGAAAAATGGAAATCGATGACATGGCAAAAACAACGGGCATGAAAAATGAGCAGCAGCAATCTTTACACGGTTATAAACTTTCAACTTCTTTGTGATTCCCACATGGGTGTGCGTATTTTGTGAAGGTTGTTGAGGTTCCTTAAGCGGCCTATCTCTACGCGTTGTCTACCAGCAGCCCAAGGCCACCAGATAGCATAGGAGCGCAATCAGAGACAGACAAGGTAATTGCACAGGGCCCATACAATTCGCGTCATGGGATTGTCGGGAACTAAGATAGCCCCAGGGCTCGGCAGTTGCGCTTCCTACCTACGAATACAGCCAATTCTCGATATTCCTGTGTTCGGCGGATCGGGTTCAGTCTAGGGTCCGAATGATGCGATCCGTCATACGGCGTTGGCCCGTCTCCATACGGCAGCGGTATACGAGGCAAGCTTGCGTAGGTAGCTGTGGGCAGCATGCAGAACCAACATTGAGGTCATCCACGGACGCAAGGCACAAAACCAGCCGTTGGGAATATTGATGGAAAATTCCATCACGTACTCAGTTTTGGTCAGCAAGCAGTCGACAGGAACAGCCACAGTGCCGCAATACATTGTCGCAGGCATGGTTTGCCTATGGACAAACTACCTAACGCACTTGGACTACCTAACAGCTTCCAACACGTACGCAGCATATTTAGTTTTGAATCCCTGAGCACACTTGTGCGTTGGGGAGAGGATGGCCGACCGGCGCAATGAAAAGAGTTTGAAGAAAGAAGCACAACCATGGATTGGATCAGATTATTTCAAATTGTCCCTGAAAAGGTGGTGATGGTGCCAGGACATTTCATCATGCACCCGCCGAAGCGGAAGAGCTGATGTGCGAAGAAAGCGTGCTCGTCATCTCCAATTTAGTTGTGTAAAGAAGAGAAAAAGAAAAAGAGTAAAATTTTCGGCCGCGATGCCGCGTAAAAAGGTAGGTCGGGACAGGGTCCACCATGAGGCGGGACCTTGCCGAGGGCCCGTGCACTGCTTACTGTTCCAACTGCCAACTTCCAGCGCGGACCTGCTCTCGAGCGGTGCCTGTAACGACATGACGGGGCGGAAGGTGCTGGAGTCTGGAGCGCGGTCCCTAGGTAAACATCGGCGAACCACCATGCAGGCCGATAAAGCTGATAAGGTCGGTCATAGTGGGTAGCGCGGAGCCGAAGCCGGCGCCAACCGCTGAGCAGCTCGGTCGACTTACCGCTGGACGACGGATGAGATACCGAGCAATGGTCACTGGTTCAGCGTATCCGCCAGCTTGGCTGGTGCCATATGTACCGGCTCCCCCACCGACTGCGCATCGCTACATCATCTCCTCGTGGTTTGTAGCTGCTGGGGTCCATACTAGCATCGGTAACTCGATCCCTCCCTCAGGTACTTGCCTGGCTGTTGCAGCTGTCCTAGCCTTACCTTACATCAAGCCTCATCCTGCTCATCCTGCTCATCCTCCATCCCCTCTTCACCTTTTCCCTCGTTGCTTTCGCTCCAATTCTCCTCGTTTGACACTGCTTCCACGACAGCCAGTCGTTATTGCTGTCATCATGTCTTTTTCCGTCTTCCGAGGTACTTCTCGTGCCCTGCGCTGCTTGCCGAAAGGGACGGTCCCGGCGACTCGTCCGCGCATGAGTGGCGTGAGATACATCTCGACGTCCAACTCTGAGGGCCAACAACAGGTGCGCCGTTTGGCTTTCCGACCTTTCCCTGGCTTTCGAATTCCGTTGCTGACTTGGGTTGCCCTTTAGCTGCTGTCTGCTCACCTCCAGCAAGCCGATCCCGCTGTCTTCGACATCATTGAGAAGGTACGACTTCATAGGACGACATCTAATGTTGACACCGACATTTGCGACAACCTCCTTTCCCCGTCAACACAACGAGCAGTGCTGCGATGACATGAGGTCTTGGCGAAGGGAACCAGCCGCTGACTCGGGTATACTTGCAGGAGAAAAACAGACAGAAGCACTTTATCAACCTCATCCCCTCAGAGAACTTCACTTCCCAAGCTGTTCTCGATGCCTTGGGCAGTGTGATGCAGAGTATGAGCAGCTTGTCCCCAGTACTGAATTTATACTCATTAACTGGCTAGACAAGTACTCCGAGGGTTATCCGGGCGCGAGATATTACGGCGGAAACGAGTTCATCGACCAAGCGGAACGTCTCTGCCAGCAACGAGCTCTCGAGGCTTTTGGCCTCGATGCCACGCAATGGGGTGTCAACGTGCAGGGTGCGTATTGTTTTCTTTCCCTTCTCGACAATCCAGCCAGCCAATAACTCATGGTGCAGCTCTGTCCGGTGCCCCCGCCAACTTGTATGTCTATTCTGCTTTAATGGACACCCACGATCGCCTCATGGGACTGGATCTGCCTCACGGCGGTCACCTTTCCCACGGCTACCAGACGCCGACCAAGAAGATTTCCGCCATCTCCAAGTACTTCGAAACCGTCCCCTACCGGCTTGACGAGACTACCGGCCAGATCGACTATAACAAGCTGGAGGAATTGGCCATGTTGTACCGCCCCAAGGTCATTGTTGCCGGTGCCAGTGCCTATAGCAGGTTGATCGACTACAAGCGCATGCGCGAGATCGCCGACAAGGCCAATGCCTATCTACTCGCTGACATGGCCCACATCTCTGGTCTGGTCGCGGCCAAGGTGATGCCCGGGCCCTTCGCCTACGCCGACATTGTAACCACCACTAGCCACAAGAGCTTGCGTGGACCCCGCGGTGCCATGATCTTCTTCCGCAAGGGTGTGCGCCGGCAGAACGCGAAGAAAGAGGATGAGATGTACAACCTCGAGGGCCCCATCAACAACTCCGTCTTCCCTGGTCACCAGGGAGGCCCCCATAACCATACAATCACCGCCCTGGCCGTTGCCTTGAAGCAGGCGCAGGCTCCTGAGTTCCGCGCATACCAGACGCAGGTTCTAGCAAACGCAAAGGCGTTTGCACACAGACTGGGCGCTCCTAAGGAGAAGGGAGGTTTGGGTTACAAGCTGGTGTCAGGCGGCACCGATAACCATCTCGTGCTTGCAGACCTGAAGCCGCAGGGTATTGACGGTGGTCGTGTTGAGCGTATTTTGGAGCTTGTTGGTGTCGCGGCGAACAAGAACACCGTTCCCGGTGACAGGTCAGCACTGGTGCCTGGTGGTCTGCGTATGGGCACACCGGCCATGACAACAAGGGGATTCAGCGAGGAAGACTTTAGCCGTGTCGCTGATGTCGTTGACCGGGCCGTCACCATTGCCGTCCGTATAGACAAGAGCGCAAAAAAGACTGCCGAGGAGAAGGGAGAGAAGAAGCCTGGTCTGCTGAGACACTTCATGCAGCATCTTGGCGATGGAGAAACCGACCCAGAGATCGTGCAGCTGAGATCTGAAGTGGCTGACTGGGTCGGCACATACCCGTTGCCGTGGGACGTCCGCTCTTGAGCAATTGGGGCCGCAGTTCATGAAGGAATGATGGGTGAGCACTTGGACTCGGGACATGAGGGGTGCTGATCCATTTCGGCGTTTTATTGGGGTCCTTGGCTGCTTTCAGGCTGTGCGAGAGCGGTCGCGCCTCCCCACGTTTATCGTTTATGTGTTCTTTTTATATCAAGGGCTTTCCACCAGTCCTAACAGCATGTTGCGCTGACATGTTGCATGGAGCATGCGTCTCCATTTACACAAAATTCATCATCCTCAACGAGATACGGAAATAAAAAAAATGATATGTAAACATTTTCAAGATTTGCCGACCCAGATAGAGCCAAGCTTCGATGACTGTAACGTTGGCCTGCTTCACCAGCAAACCTCACATCGCGCCCCTTTTCTGGTTTGCTTGTGTTATTCGAGGCATTTTCTTTTCTTACAAGAAGGTATCAAGCAAATAATACACTCCGAGGCTTTCCCGCACATCATGGACCTATTCCTCAGATGCCCAGGAGCTGTAAGATGAATCCGTCCCTGGGTATCTTCAATCACCAACGTGAAGTGAGGATAATTTCAAGGCGTGCTTGCGCCCTCCGGCCGGTCTGTTCCCAGCACTTTGGTAGTCGAGTCTCTGCTCTTGAACCTCTCGTAATACTCCTTCAACTTTCCAGTCGCGACGAGTGCCTCAGCACCATACTTCTCCACAATGGTGTGAAGCACTGGCCAAACGGCGAAGTCGGCCAAAGAAACTCTCTCTCCCGCAATAAACTCCGACTCTCCGGAGTAGCCTCCCCAGATAGCCAGCTCTTTGTTTAGGGGTTTCAGGTCACGCTTGCCTTCGTCGTCTCGCTCGAGTTGGCGCCATTTTTCGAGCAATGCGAGTCCTTGCTGGAAACGGGTCAGGATCCTCGCCAGATCTGGGTGCGACTTGCCAGCGGCTTCTGCTCTTGCTGAGCCATAGATGCCGTCAAGGTACAACATGATTGCCAGCTCGCCCTGTACCGTGGACTTGACGGCGTCGTTGTCGATGAATCTGATCGGCGGGCTTTCAGGGATCGTAAAGGTGTTGTTTACACCTTCGCCGTCTTTCCAGTTGAAGGACGAAGACATGCTGCCCTTTGCGTAAGAAATTCCATACTCGGCTAGCATCAGGGCGATGCGTGTATTGACGACGGAATCAGCTGAGACGCAGAGTCGAGGTGAGTGGTTCATGTGAAGAACGTCGAACCCCTTACCGTAGTGCCGGTCCCAATCGAACGTGGTAGAATGGTTCTCCGTACCAAAAGCGTGCAGCATTTCCACCGCCTCAGGGCTTTGCCCATTGATAACGGGCTTGGCCTCATCTCGGGCCTTGCATGTCGCTCCTTGGCCCCAGATCACTGTACTATCGCGATCCAAAAAGGTACCAATCTGTCGGAAGGTGAGGGAGATGCGGCCGCCCGAGAAGGCTAGTTCAGCAGGAGTCTTGTCGCGCTCCATCCTCTTGTCCTGCCTGATGGCGTGCAGCCAGCGCATGTTGGTCTTCAGGCCCATGCGGCACAGAGAGTTGTGTGGCAGCTTTGCGCGGGCGATTTGGCGCTTCTTTGAGTCTTCTCCGGATGGTGACTCAGTACTAGACGGGTCCTTGTCCCGTCTTTTAGTCCTGAACACCATCGTTCGTTCCGCCCCAAGGCTGACGTTGGCGATGTAAGATCCCTTGACAATATCCAGGGTCTTATCACTGTGCTCGGAGATGTAGTCGGTGCCGTCACGATAGAACTGAATCAGGGCGTGGTTCAGCGGATGGCCGAGCTGTTTCTCGACCTCGGTCTTGATTTCGCGCACTGTTGGCGAAAAGAACAGAAGAGGGGGCGATTCGTCAGATGGATGACGGTAAACTGGCATGCTACCATCGCCAGCCACTTCCCCCTGAACGGCGACTAGACGAGGGACTTCGCCGCCTTGGTGCGACATTCTCTGCCAGCTGACTTCATCTCTGACTTTCTCAAAGATGCCTTCAGCCAGAGGCTCGGGGATGATGTTGTGGATGACAGTGGTGTCTCCCTCACAGAGAGGTTCCGAGACCTTCAGGGCGTCTTCGTTGTCGACTTCTTCGCTGCTCATGGTTCCAGTCCCTGTGGAGGCTATTGTGGTATCTACTTCAAGTTCTGGGTCGGATGCAGGTGTTTTTTCATCGTCAGAGGCAGCTTCAATTATTTGAGGGCCGTTTGTGGTATCTTCCTCCGGTTGAATAGCAGTATCCGGGTTGCGAGAAACCTCTATGACCAGTGACTCACTGATGATTGGTGCTGCTGATGATGGCTGTGCATCCGGGTCGACTTCCAACATATCGGAGATGGTTGCACACTCTGAGTCATCCGGGTACCGATACCTTGCGGACCTCGCAGGCCTCGAGGCTGGAGAAGGTCTACCAACGTCGTTTTCGAGTTTGAGCCCGGCCAGCTTTTCCTCGAGGGACTGGGATTTTGGAGTTGAAGCGTCACTGGCCACCAGAATTTCATCATCGGCCGTTTCTCTGAGCCTTCTTGGTACAACAGGCGAGGAAGAACTGGAAGCGGCCGAAGCTGGGCTTTTCTTGGCTTGCAGTTTCTCGACGACGGCTGTACCTTCAAGTACATCACAGCCGGTTAGATCAACGAGACTTCGCATAGTATTACTTAGGCGAAGTTCGGATATGAAACCACAGCAATCCTCGACGAGAGTGATGGAATAGCCGTACTTGACAGCATCGACGGCAGTGGCATGCACACCAACGTTGGCGAGGGAACCACAGAGAAAGAGCTCGGTGACGAACTTGAAGCGCAGCATCTGCAACAGCTGGCCCGACTTGAAGGCAGAATAATGAGACTTGAGGAACTTGATATCGCGGGGTGCGATGGCGTCTTTGACGGCAGCCGGGAATTGGGCACCTGAGGTGGATGGGCGAACGACGGGGGGGCCAGGCTGGCTGAGAAAAGCCTCGTGATCGCGGTCCGTATCTGGCTCTTCAGACTCTTGTTGGACGGCGGGTCGGCGGCGGTAGCGAGATGTCAAAATGGTGGGCTTGGGCATGACATCGGTAGCCAGGATCTGTTCCGCGGAAGAGGGGCGGTGCTTTTCAAATTCGGTGTGTACCCAGATGATTTCGCCAGTCTTTCGAAAAGCCTTGACGAGGTCGAGGGTGCGCGAAACTAATGCATCAGGCTCAGCAACGGGGAGAGCACCGTCGGCGGCAAGGAAGTCGTTCTGGAAGTCGATGACCAACAGGCCCTTGCGGGTAGGCAACGTCGGCATGACATTTGGGTCGAAGGGAAACATTGCGACAGTGGGAGCAGTCTCAAAGTATCCAATAAAAGTGCATGTTTGGTGGGTGTTGGTAAGTTTGAACCCGATGAGTGACGTTGCTGCGGCAAGGTCACGATGATAGTAAGTGAGCGCAACCGAGGAGATGAGTGGTAGCAAGGATGCAAATTGACGATGAAAGAAGTCGGTCTGATGCTGTCTGTCTGTTCTTTAATGCCGTGTTTCGTTTCCTACTAGGACGAAGGGAAAGAAATATGGATGAGTCGGTGGGATGATGCCTGGCAGTCGGTTCGTGAAAGGCGGTGTTGGTGTTGGTGTTGGTGTTGGTGTTGGTGGTATGTAATTATCAGTATTGAGGTTGTCGGCGTTGGACCCTGCGTTGCGAGGGGAGTTTGAATGGAACGGAACGACTGGGGTTAGTGGTGAGGGGAGCGCAAAGCCCTTCTTTCCCCTGGCTCCCGCCCTGCTCGAATCGGATCTCGCCCGATCCGTGGGCCTCGCAGATAAGGTACCTTACCTAGTACTCACCTAAGGTACCTACCTAGGTAAGTACGAATAAGGTACCTACCTTACTGTGGGCAGTGGAGGGCAGCCTCCCTCCAGGCGGGCAGCCTCCAGGAAGCAGCATACCTGGGCGGTGCAGGTGCCATCGGCCTCACGCAGCCCTACCAGGAAGAACATCCGCCGCCAACCAACCAACACTCGAATAACACCACCCACACGACCTCAACGCACACATCGTTACCCAACACCGGCTAGATGTTCAGGCATCCCCAGTAAACTGACTTATGGACATAGGTACATTCTTTTGCAGATTACCCCCGCCCGCACTCATCCGAACGTCAACTCCTGAACTGACTCCGCATCGCCCAAGGTTTTTGAATGCCTAATCATTTCTGCCCATGTTTATAGGATGACATCTAGTCTATATGGATGCCTCTTGGTTTATTTCCATGTCTATCTATCCCTCCACGTTTGAGACTCGCCGTTTCGCACCCCCATGGCTGTAAGAATGTTGATATTTCCAATGCAAATCTTCAAGTATCTGCACAACCTCCACGAAACGCGGTCTGTCTTCGACCACAGGGGTCGAGCATCGAGCAAGCAGCTGCTGTAGTCCCTCGATCGTCCGCCGCTTCTTGTCCATCTCCAAATGGCCCGGGCCCGTTACTCCCAAGAGGTCCTCAACTAGATGACCGAAGGCAAGAATCTCCAACCTCTCAAAGTCGAGGCCGTTGAGATTTTCATACACCGTCGCCGCTCCAAAGTCACCGAGCAGGGCATGTCCCGCCTCGTTGGAGAGAATGTTGTGGGCATAAAAGTCGCAATGGGATACCTTACGACCGTGCAGGTGGAGAGCTGCCGCTGCAACGCCAGCAAGAATCTCCAAAACATTGTCCAGCGGCAGCTTTCTCCCGTCTTCATAGCGGTCCCTCGTACAGGTCTGCAGGGAAGGAGGAAGCCCCAGAGTCTGGTAGTGAGGCGGTATGAGCTGCATAACGAGGCCATGCTTCTCTGGGTGCCCATCAATGCTTGCCAGTGTGCTGATTAGGTTCTTGTGCGATCCTGCAGCGAGACAAGCTGACATCTCATCGAGAGGTGTCCCGTCGCTTGTTACTTCGCCCTTGAACAGCTTGATGGCCACTTCCTCTACGACGGAGTCGGCCAACATCCATCTCGCTTTGAAGATGTCACCCGAAGCTCCGTGACCGAGCAAACCTTCGACCTCTAGATCATGCCAACCCACTTTGCGAAGCTGAGCCACTTCGTGTTCGAGGGTGATGGCGCAGCATGGATTACCAGCCACCGAAAAGAACGCCAGCTCAGGCAGCTTGAAAAGCCAGGGTGGCAGATGGTTGAAATCGTTGGCGGAAAGACGAAGCAAGCCAAGCTTCTTGCACGCAGACATCTCGTCGGGCAGGTTTTTCAAGCGATTGCCTGCGAGCATGCATTTCTGAAGACGCGCGCATTTGCCAACACTTCTCGGGAGGTTTTCGATGCGGTTGTTGGTGAGGATAAGCCAGCGCAGGTTACGGGGCAAAGCATCCTCCGGGATGGTGCTCATGCCGTTGGAGCGGAAGGCCACCATTTCGAGTTCCGGGCATTGTGCCAGCTGCTTGGGAAAGGCTTTGAAGTTGCAGTCCGAGAAGAAGGCAATCTTGAGCTTATGCAGTTGACCGATGCTGTCAGGTAAAGTGGAAAGCCCCGTGCCAGAGAGATCCAGATGCTCAAGCGTATCGGCGAGTTGAAGAATCTCCGAGGGAAACTCGCTCAGGGGGCCAGCGAGCTTCAGCTTCTGTAGGCCAAGATCACGGTAGCCACCGCTACGCAAGGTTTCCAGGCTCTGCATGGTACCGCAACGATCGATAGTGGACTCGTTCTGTGTATGAGGTACCTTAGGGACTCGTGATCGAGGGCGTTGGGGGATCAAATGATAAAGAGTGCGGCCCCCTGGCTTGAGATTCCGTAGAGACTCGGGCTGAGATAGGGACAACTGCTGGCGCTTGACTCAGACACGCGAGGATGGCAATGAGAACTGAGCGGAGGGCGGCGTTCTCTCCCGCTATCTCTCCAAATTCGGCAATATTTATTTAGTAGGTGGAAGCTGCATTGGACAGCTGGTCATATCGTAGCGGGAGGGAAGACGGGATCGGGCATATTAAAGGTACCTTAGAGCGATGTGTGGAACACCTGGAACACTGCTTCTTTGACTGCTACGCCTGTGTCAGATAAGATCCATGGATAGTAGCACAGCCCGCCAGCGATGGGTCTCGACTCGAGTTGAGCTATCCGTAAATTGACACACTAAAAGAAACTATGGAGTTTAATAAGACAAGGGCAAGTCGAGAGCCATCCTGAGACCACATGGACGAGTTTCGAGTCCCATATGAACGCGAATCTACCTAGGTACGCCATTAAACGCAGGGAGACGGCGACGAGTGAGGCGAACCATTTGGCTGGGATCGCCCACTGTACGACCTTATTTAGCAACAACCATGGAACCTGTGAACTCCCAAGAGCCGACGCAAGGACCACCTGCCCCAACCTACCTACCTCCTAAGTGTACGGTACACTACCTAGGTATCCGTAGGTAAGCAAGGTGCCTAGGTAAGGTGTGGATACCCTCCGTACGTGCTTACCTTACTAGGTACCTAAGGTACCTTAGGTTCCTTAGGAAGAGCCTCAACCTCCGGTGCTTCCTCGCTAATTTTGCTGCTGGAAAGTACGTACCGACCAACAGTTTCCGTCCAAACAGCTGCAACTTCCATATCAAAAACTGCGACGATCTATCAACTCTCTCGCGCCGGCTGGGTCATCTGCTTCAACAACAGCGCCCGGCACCCATCGCCTGTCGCCCGTCCTTGTTCCGCCGAACTTTCGCAGACGAAACATCCTAAAATTCGAAAGCCAGCGCGTCATCGACCCGCGTCTCGATACGCGGGCTTCGCCTGAGCTTCGCGCCATGTCCGCACCTGCCTCACCCGCTGCGGCCACGAGCCCATGCAAACGAAGCTCGCCCAGTGACGAGGAGGAGTCCAACGCGAAACGGCAGAAGACCGATCTTGGGCTTTCCGCGACACCCGCCGAAGACGACGAGTCGTTACTCCCATGCGCAACCAAAGTCATCATCCCTTCCCTCGACTACCAAGCAAAAAGCGGCCTTGAACGTAGTATTGGCTTAGCATTGCAACATGTTGGCTTTGACTCCGCCACTACCGAGGCTATGGAGAGCTATTTGGTGACAGTTGAGACCTGTGAGAATCCATAGGGGATCCTGACAGCCGCACATTTGAGCTAATCTCCAGCCTAGACATGGCTTCTTTCATCGAGGACCTCAAACGAGTTTCTCTCGCCGCGCGCCGCGAGCAACCAACGCCTGCCGACTTCGAGTCTACAATGCAACGCTTCACCCTCAAGACGAAGGCTCTCAGACCTCACGCTCGCCAACCCGTCCCCAAATCTAAGCTCGCCGTCGACTACTTTGACCCGATGCCCGAGGACCCCGATGCGCATATTACCCTGCCACTTCTTGGAGAAGAGCTGAGTGGCAGGCCAGAGAAGGAGGCCAAACCATACATTCCCAAATCGTTTCCTGATTTCCCGAGCAAGCACACGTACAAGTACACGCCAAAGGAGGACGATAGCGGACGAGATCCTCAGAAGATGAGGGACGAGGCTGCAAAGGCATCGAAACAAGGCGAGGAAGCCTTGCGAGGCTTGGTAAGGGCGACTAAGATGCGGAAGCAGAAGGAGGTCAGATCACTGTCGGAGCGCGACCCTATGACCAAGGAGCGCTACTCGCTATGGGCCGCGGCTATGGAGGGGTTCATGAAGAAGGAGGGAGGGGCAACCGGACAGCTCGAGATCGCCGACCACAGTATGATTGTCAATTCGGATGCGCGACACTTGCGCAGAGAGGTGCAGCGTCAGGGGAAACGGGCTGCGGGTCAAGGTTAAGAGGGCAGATGTCGGCAGGGGCTTGTTTTTCCCGCATGGGAAGAATCGGCAACGGTAATGGTGGCCGCAGATGTTCTCCACGGGCGTGCCGGCACAATCGTCGTTTACGGTTGTCGCATTCAGTCGGAGGGTGCGAAGAATTATCTCGCATCAAAATGCATTCAGCAGCAAGGCGTTTAGGTTTGGGAAATATGCCGTTTAAACCACCAGGCAGGAGGGCAAATCAACAGGGGCATGGGCATGCTCACAGTAACAACCAAGGTTTCCGAGGCACCTGCGACTATGCAGTTGATCAAGAAAGGAGAAAGGAACGCCCAGGCAGGGACAGACTTGCAGGGCTCAGCAGCGGTAGGAGCAGATAAAAATCCATACACAGGCTGTGAGAGACCCTATGTAAGCTTTGAATCCTGCACAACTTATGTTCTGCTCCGTACCTTACCTACCTTAGGTCCAGTCGTTCCCGACCCAAGTCCCATTCCACGTCTGCAGGCGTGCCCGCCGTCGCCCCTGCACAGTGACATGCAACTCTGAGCGCGCAAAGTGGAGCCAATCAGCCTCGTCGCAGCGCTGCCGCCACGCAGGACGCCCATTGGTTGCAGCCCCACCGACAGCCTCTTCCACGCTTCGCGTAGGATACCTTAATCCGAAGAGGGCTTTTTTTTCGCCCACACACAAATTCCTGAATTCAGCAAGAGCTCCAAGGGTCAAAGGTGTGACCTCAGAATCAACTCCAACCTTCCTCACCTTTCTCTCACCACTCAATCGACCTGATTGCCTCATTTCCCAATGGCTGAGCAGTTGATTCTCAAGGGTACCCTCGAGGGCCACGTAAGTTGCTGCTTGCCCACTCTCCGCGCCGACGCCGTTGCTGCTGCTGCTGCCGCCGCCGTCGCGGGCGATTTTTGTCTGTAAATTTTGGACCACCAGGACTGACGAGCATGCTCTTTGCAGAATGGCTGGGTCACCAGCCTGGCTACCTCCATGGAGAAGTACGACTCCCATCGATGAATCCCACGGTGCTTTCTCGACACGGAACGGGTTCCAGAAACCGAGACGAGGAGAGAGATGCGCTGGTGGTCGAATCTGAGGCTTGAAAGCTTTGGTCGCTAACATTTGTCGCCAGCCCCAACATGCTCCTGTCTGCTAGTCGTGACAAGACTCTGATCATCTGGAACCTCACCCGTGACGAGTCCCAGTACGGCTACCCCAAGCGCTCCCTCAAGGGCCACTCCCACATCGTCTCCGACTGCGTACGTCTCCTCGACCCCTCCCGGACCCCGCGAAAATTCTGCGCCGTCTAGGGGCTGTTGACCAACTTTGGGCTGATGGAGGAGTGAATACAGGTTATCTCGTCGGATGGCGCCTACGCCCTTTCCGCCTCGTGGGACAAGACTCTTCGCCTCTGGGAGCTTGCCACCGGCACCACCACCCGCCGTTTCGTCGGCCACACCAACGACGTCCTGTCCGTCTCCTTCTCCGCCGACAACAGACAAATCGTCTCTGGTTCCCGTGACCGCACGATCAAGCTGTGGAACACCCTCGGTGACTGCAAGTACACCATCACCGACAAGGGCCACTCCGAGTGGGTTTCCTGCGTCCGCTTCAGCCCCAACCCCCAGAACCCCGTCATTGTCTCCTCCGGCTGGGACAAGCTCGTCAAGGTATGTGGAAAATTTCCCCGTGGAACCGTTCTTTTTTTTCTTGGACAAATCTTCGACATGATGTTTTGCAACCAAAAGTATTTGCTACTTCAGAGCCTGTTTTTTGCAGGCCATGAGACCACTATTCACCAATGCACTGATCTCGCACCCTCGAATCCATCATTTTTTTGCTTTTGTATCCACTCTCGGAATGGACGTTGTGGGCTAACACTGGCAATTCCAGGTCTGGGAGCTCTCCACCTGCAAGCTGCAGACCGACCACATCGGCCACACCGGCTACATCAACACCGTCACCATCTCCCCCGACGGCTCTCTCTGCGCTTCCGGTGGCAAGGACGGAACGACCATGCTCTGGGATCTTAACGAGTCCAAGCACCTCTACTCCCTCAACGCCAACGACGAGATCCACGCCCTCGTCTTCTCTCCCAACCGCTACTGGCTCTGCGCTGCCACCGCCAGCAGCATCATCATCTTTGACCTTGAGAAGAAGAGCAAGGTTGACGAGCTCAAGCCTGAGTTCACCGCTGTCGGCAAGAAGAGCCGTGAGCCTGAGTGCGTGAGCTTGGCCTGGAGCGCCGACGGCCAGACCCTGTTCGCCGGTTACACCGACAACATCATCCGCGCCTGGGGTGTCATGTCGAGAGCATAAAGGGCATAAAAGCTCTCTCTGTCTCTCTTCTGGGTTATGGATGGCGATGACGATGTGTGGTGGGGAAAGGGCTCTGAGATGGTAGATCATGGCGGGCGTCCTAGGCTGGCTTCCTCGTTTGGTCTTTCGGGATGCGCAGGGTCAAATCGATTTGTGAAAAATGGGGATGAGACTGCATTGCTGGCTTATAGGTAGCCTACGAAAGGACTCTGGACATGAAACCCACGTAACGCCCAAATCAAAAGATCCTGGCAAACAAAATATGCTGTTTTCTGTTACAATTCTCGGTGAAGCCGACCTCATTTTGCTGTGACTGTTTCTGCATGCTGCCCGTGTTTCTATGTTCCTTATGGCCGGGATGGGTGATGCACTAATGTGGTGTGTGTTGGGACAACCAATTCGCCAAATTTCGCTGTGGTTAGGAAGGAGCAGCAAGTAGCACTAATTCCTACTCGCCTCAACCTACAACTGCTCACCTCTATTTCCACTCCGGGCCTTGTTCGTGGTTTCACCGTCAAGATCGTGGGTCCAGATGCTCTAAAGAGTGTGACGTTTAAGTACGAAATTGATTGCATATGTACTGAATATGGCTAGCTGTGTATCCAAGATGTTGAATATATACAAATAAAGGGAGTGTTGGCTCATCACGTCGGGATGGGAGTACGCAAGGGCATTTCCCCTGTTTTTTTGCCCTCCTCACTCCGTTTCCTGCTTACAGTGGGACTCTGCCAAGATACCGAGCAAGAAGCCTTCAACTCGCCATCTAGAACGCAGGCTTGGCATTCTTGAGGAGCATCTCAAAGTAGGCCTGGTTCCAGGTTCCGGCCTCCGGCGAGGGCTTGTAGGCGTCGGGCTTGCCGCAGAAGGAGTCGTAGCGGACAGCGCTCGAGTCGCTGGTGCCATCAGACTCTCCGCCGGGCTTGACCCACACGAAGGCATCGGCCAGCTCGAGGCCGGTGTTTGCGCTGGGGCGGAGACCGAAGCCGGCCCCGTTGACGTTGCACCAGTTGCCCCACTCCTCGCGGAGGCCCTGGACGCCGTTGCGACCGGTGTCGACGATGGCGTGGTTGGGCATGCCGGCGGTCTGCAGAGCGGCACCGAAGAGTGTGACATACTTCTTCTCGTTCTGGGCCTTGTTGTACTGGGCATCGGGGTCAGAGGCGAACTCACCGGGCTCAGCGTCCCTAATCATGTCCAGTCAGCATCCTTTAACCCTTGTGTAAGTCGTCTGAAAGGAGACTGAATGCTCACCAGGAGTTCCAGCCGGCGACGTTGGTGGCGAAACCGCGCAGTTGCGACGGGCTGCCGGCGGCCTTGTACGCCTTGGCGAGCTCCTCAGCGCCGGGCTTGAGGTTGTCGTTCCAGCCAAGCCAGCCTCCGTGGCCAGCATCCATGTACATGACGACGTTGGGAAGGTTGAGGTTCTTCAGAGCGTAGGCGACGCCGTCGCGGTAACCCGCGGCCGAGTTCTGGCAGGTTTGCAGGTTGATGTTGGTGACCAGGTTGGGGAGGGAGTCCGGCTCGATGACAAGGGCAAAGGCCGTGTTGGGGTTCGCCTTGATGATCTTGACGATGGGGTCGATGTACTGCGACTGGTACTTGGAGAGTTCGCCGACCGCGAGCTCGCCGTTGGAAGCCTTGGCAGCGCAGTCACGGCCCGGGAGGTCGTAGATGACGACACCCAGAATGTGGTCACAGGGGGTGTCAGCAATGGCAGGATCAAGACGAGCAATGTTTGCAATGGTGTCACTGAACGGTCATCGTTAGTCTCCCTTAATGTTCTCTCGGGCGGACGGTGAGTTTTGGGACGGCTTACACCCATACGAAGGATCCGACATCAGCGACCTTGAGAGCCTGTTCCTTGAGAGTGCCGCTCATGCCTGCGGCGGCAGCCTGGATCTCAGCCCTGTAGAAGTTGTTGGGGTGCAGGGTGTATTTAGAGAAGACGTTCGTCTTCGCATCCAAAGAGACGGCCGAAGAGCACGCAGAGACGGCTTCCCGGGGTTGCTCCTTGCGTGTGGTCGAAGGCGCAGCAATGGTCGTCGAGGCCAAGGCCGCCAGAGTGGCGGTTGTGAACTTCATGTTGATGCAAATTCTCTTGGTTTAGCTGTTCTTCTTTTGTGATGCTGAGTTGTCTGATGAGAGTCTAAGGGTGAAGGTAGACAGTACCATATTTATACACCTCAAAACTTCAAGGCCAGCCAGATTGTGAATCCCATAGACAAGATCACGTACTTACGATCTTCAAGAGCACTCGCCTTCAAAGCGACATCAATCAGGAAATAGGCCCGACAGTTGCGAAGGCTTCGGCCAGCTCTCTCCGCGTTGCGATGATGCAGTTGCCTTGAAGGGCAAGCCAAGGCTGGTGGAAGAAGACGAGCCGTCTGGGAAGATTGATCTTTCGAATTGGCATGTCTGGGCAATTTTACTCCAGGGGGGTCGATATGAATCCCATCGTCAGTTAAACAGGCAACATGGGATGGGCGTCCTGAAGCGGCTTCTTCAATGGTGATCTTCCAGTCAGATGGTCTCCCAGTGTTGCCCTGCTTTATTGCTTGCAACCCCCGCAACATGAGAAAGCCTTGGATGCTTCCATCCGGGCTAGCCGGAGGAAAGTATCTAAGCCCTGTAAGCATTTCATGATCCACGAGTGGCGAGACAGGGTATTGTAGTGCTGGCGAGCCTCGACT